TTTCTATAAACATTACTCTGCATGAACATGCGAATAGTAACCTAGTAATATCTGATAGGGCTCCGGTTTTATCCAAATAAAACTACATCAAGTGCACAGCAAAGCAGTTATAGTATAAGGGGTTATCGAATCCCAAGGGAGTAAGTAAACTACACTATAGAATTTAAGTTCAGATTAAGCTAAGCGATCAATAGTGTATGTAATGCGACATAGCTAAAAACAATTAAAGCAAGCGAAATTTGATTGATCTAAGACTCAAAAAACTAAAAGCGCTAAGTCAGGACAATTCGCAGGTTGAATCCAAGAATGTAGAATGCATGAAATCAGGAATGATTAAGAACCGTCTTGAAACATGAATCGCAAATATATAACTAATCAGTTCTCATTGCAGAAGTTAACTATGTCTAAATCACAAAGTTTCAAATCTCTTTGCAAACCTTAACAACTTAAACATGCAGTAATGATCAGGTTCAATTGTTCACAAAACTCCTAAGCTAAATCTATTTGCACTAAGTCGTTTTGCTCATCTAATGCTAGATCAGGTTATCAATAATGCTCTTACATCTATTAAACAACCTAGGTTTCAAAATTCCAGATGATGTGTCTAAGAAAATCGGTTTTAAACAAGCAGAGATGAAAAACCAAAAGATATTCCTAACAGATAGCGATTTCTACAAACTCATCATCAACCCTTGAAAATCTCTAACTTAACTAGCAGAATACTCAGACATGATCATGGAATCACAAAGCATAGCTGAATAAAATTGCATTAAAGAGAAAGAGTAAAAGTTAAAGGGGTTTGAAATCTTCTCAAAAGAGTACATGATCTGTCTCCCCAAAAAGCTCTGAATAAATCTCTCTCTAAAGCTCTTTGAATTCTAAAATCTAAGATAAAAGCCAACAATGGCTGAAAACCTAATATATACAAGCTAAAACACGAGGTGGAGCCTTTTTGCAAATACTGGAACTTCTGGGCCAAAACTGCAGATAATCCTCCATCTTTTAAAAACAAGCCACGATCCTTCCCATCTACGGGTGATGAGCGTCACCCTCGAGTGGTGACGAGCGTCACCCAAGCCATCATTCGCCTTCTGAGTTGCACACTTCGTGGCTTTATCTTGCAATGCTCCAAAAAGCTCCATAATCTCCAATTGTGCTCCAGTTGTGCTATAACCTGCAAAGACCCTACTATGACTCTAAAAAGACCAAAAAGACTCAATAAAAAGGATTTATATCATGGTTAAAAACCATAAAAACCATGATATATCAACTCCCCCAGACTTAGCTTTTGCTTGCCCTCAAGCAAACATCAGACAAAGATTAGGGTCGAGGTTTGAAAACAGAAACAGTCAGCTAAACATCAGGAACACCACATAGGTTAACACTTTCGAATCCACATACCACAGAGTCAACACAAGATCAAATTTCAGTCTAATCATCACAAGCTTAGCAAATCTCTCAAATCCAGTTCAAGTTCCTTCAAGAAATCCGAAAACTCTGCTGCTAACTCCTTATATTTATCTAAGTGTGATATCTCATCAAGGTTTTATCATCTCAATCACTTACAGATTCATTTCACTTCCTAAACAACTGAACAAAGCAATCTCAACACAACTCTCCTATTTTCTCTTCCCTTGATCTCTTCTTTCTGTTTTTTCCGATTTTTTAACTCTTTTTTCATTTTTTACAGTCTAAGATATGATGCTACTCAATACTTGTGTTCCTTGTGAGGAAACAGGTTCTTGAGTGTGTTTATTACTTTTGTTCCTTGTTAGGAGACAGGGTCATGAATGCACCATTCTATGGACTTAAACTCTTAAAAGCTGTATCAGGGAAGACCAAAGAGAGACTGCATCTAAACATACTTGTCAGTGTTGAAAGAGAGAATCAAGATCAATGAGAATCAAGCCCCTGGATAAGAAGTTTAAAGTTCATTAAGGTGGAGCTAACAAGAAATTTTCTAGATTCTCTAAGAACCTAAACCTTCATTGCTAGACTGATCTACCTATGACTTTCAACTTAGCAAGACTTGTAATCAACTGCTGTGGCAATGGTTCTTATAAGCATAGACGTTTTGTGGTTAGTTCCAAGAAAAACTGACAGTTTCAAAATTTTGACTATATAAAACAGGTCTTTGACTCAACTTTTAAGACTCTAAAAATCAAACACAATGTACACAATGTCAGTAACCACCTCCCCCAGACTTAAACAACATTGTCCCCAGTGTTATTAAGCCAAGAGTTGGTCAAAAAGAAGCATGTGAACGTGTAGAACCAAGCTAGAAAAGTGTTACCTCGCGAAGGGACGGGTGACGAGTGTCACCCTTAGTGGTGACGAGAGTCACCGCGTCTGGAACTTCAGCATCGACTAGTTAGATGAGTTAAACGATATGTTATCATGTGTACTCTAAAGTTAGACTGTTAGAGCACTCAAACACACATTTAATAGCATCCAAACATAGCAATAAAACCTGGTTCAACAATCTCACAAAACATCATCAAAGTAACTGACAACTGACTCAAAGAAAAACATAAAAATGACTCAAGAGAAATAAAAGAAAAGAGAAACAGAAACAAGTAACCAGATAGTGGAGGATCTAATCCTCATCCTCACAAGGCTCAGTAGTGTAGTGTGGGCGGACATAACCACAGTTGCTCAGTGTAGCAACAGCATCCCATAATCCCTCAAAGCTGTCAATGACATACTCCTGAAAAGCAGCCATGTCCATGGGTGTCTGAGGTTGCGGAGGGCGCCTCAATCAAACTGATCCTGTAGCGAATCCTGCGGATCAGAAAAGTCAGTGTGCCTTTCTGTGCTCGCTTGGCCATCTCGTTCGTGTAGTACACACGAACAGTGGCAAGGAACTGTTGAACCAGATCAGGGTACAGATCGTACTGTTGAAAAGCCATAGTGCCCATCCCGATCCTCTCCAGAATCTGCAAAACATCATCCAGAATACCCATCTTCTGCAGCAATGTAATGTCCGCGAATCTGGTGGGAATGATCTTCACCTCCAACCATGCATTGTAGAACAGCGTGTCATACTCATCCCACTCCTCCTGAATGCCGTGGAATACACAGGTATCCTGCGCCACTTCCTGCTTCGGAGTCCCTATCCAAGCAACTCCAGAAGCGATTTTCCGATCCTCTCGCTTTGGCCATGGAGGCTTGCAAACTGGTCGACTGCTATCAGACTGCACTGATCCTGATGCAGTGCTCGACGACGATGCTGGTCGTTGTCTCTTCTCATGTCGAGGCATCTTGCAGATCTTAAAAATAGAGTTGATATTATGAAAGAGGGCCAAAATCCACACGGATTAGACTTTTGAATCACTTAATTCGGTTCAAGTTCCTAGATAAGAAGTTTAAAGTTCATTAAGGTGGACTTAATGAACTTTAAAAAAAATTATTTTTTCCAATGAAAATTTGGAAATAAAAAAGATAATAAAGTGTAAGACACACTATTGCCTTACCATGAATTATAAAAAAACAATTTCACTTTTTTTCCATGAGTAAATGAAAATAAAAGAGATAATAAAGTTCATAGAGTAGAACTTTAAAATAGAGATTTCTATTTTTTGGAGTATAACTTTTTTATTTACAAAATAATCATTTACATTTTGATATGTTTTTATTTTGTATCCAAACAAAAATTATATGTTGTATTTTACACTTGTATGAAATTATACAAATGATAATTAAATAAAATACTTAAATTCATCTTGTGGCTTGCATAAGGGATTCACATTTACTCCCAAACATTGTTTCAGAAGCGCCATAGGTCGCAGAGATCACTGGCACTTTGTTGGAGTAAAACTCTAATATTGGAATGTATTGAGGGTTTTGTCCTGTAACAACGCTTTGAAGATGCATAGCAGGAGAAACAGGCAAGCCAGATGGAGTTGTGGAGTGCGCCCTAGCGAAATAAAACATCATTGCCTTTCCTTCTTGTACACTTTCGATATGCCTACAAAGCGAAATCAAAGAGATGGATATTATTCATGTTTGAAGTCAGATAAGTACGCTAAAACGAAGGAAGTCTCAAGAGTTGCTTTGATATAAGGAACGAGCGTAGAGCATAGATGAATGTCATGTCCTCAAAGAACTTGTTGTTCACAGGTAAAATCTTTTGTTTCCTTCCAGACACACCACAATGTCACAAAGCATAACACCTTTGAATTTTTTTTTTTTTTTTTTTGGTCAAGAACACCTTTGAATTTATATCACATGATTTATATCGGACAGCTACGCCTCTATTCAAGTCTCTAAATTCTGCTATGTGTATATACATGTGTATGCTCTACTTAACAAAACATCTCTTAGACCTAGGCGACTTTATGCGATATATCCTCTAGTTGCAAAGGAAGGTTCGAACACATTGTTCTTTCTTGTAATGCACGCAATCATATGTATCGAGCGTGTACCTCAGAGAGCTCTCAACCTAGTTATGGAGAAGAAGAAGACAAGGGAGATCCCGTAGAAGCAATTTTCATTATTAGCTAGAGACCAATACTTGGAGTCTAAAGCAAGACGAGCATAATTAACGTTAGATGTTCCGAATCGAAGATGAAACAGAAAGAAGAAACATAATCGATTGCATCAATGGTGGGTGAATCTTCATCATCCGAGAATAATGAATCGGGGAGTTAGTTGAGTGACTTGAGTCTGATATAACTCATTCAAAAAATCAAAATTTGAGTCAATGATGACTCGATCAAATTTCTATTTATTTGTGAATCTTGAATTGTGTAAACATAATGGAAAGAGAATAGTACAATAAAACTTTTTTTAATTTAATTATTCATCATAAGATTCATAAAGTCCACATAAAATAAAATCTCAAATAAAAATAAAATTATTCTACAAATTAAAAAGCCTAAATAAATGTTAGAAAAGCTTCTCTTCTAATACATTGTGACCTGAGATTAGATTGATATTTGGTTATCACCTCGAATCAGAGTTTTATTATTTAATTTTATATAAAAAGAGTTTTCAAGGACGTGGAATACTATTTCATGTGTTTATATATAACACTAACAAAGTATATATCCAAAACCACACCACTATTATTAGCATGGAGACTTTTCAAATAGCAGTTATAGACAGAAAAGAGCAAAATTGGATCAACATATTAGAAGGTGCAGGCAAATTTCATGTACACACTAATGTGAGAGACGAGAAGGTTCAAGATTCAAAATAGTCATTTACCTCAAAGCGATTTCTACATAAACTCTGTTTTTCAAGTAAAAAGTCAAATGGCAATGCAATATACTTCAGGGCTTCACTGAGTAAGATATGGGGTTGTGTTTCATCAAGCTTCGGATTCACTCTCTATTCTAACCAGTTCCTGCAAATATAGACCCCATACATAGATTCAAAACCATTCATAAACTTGTGCTAATAAATCATTGCTTTTAACTTTTTTTTACCTTTCTTCTGGCAGCAAGAGTCTGGCTTTTCTTTTCTTTCTTATCTCCGTGGCATTTACCGCACCATTTTGGGAATTCCTTCTTATAGGTTTTCATCTCTCTGAATATAGAGCTGCAATGTCGGAGAAAAAAACAGGATAAATGTTATTTCGGTTGTGATCTGAAATCCTGAGGCAAGGGCTTCGATACTGTTTACCTTCTGCACCAAAGAATCATATTGACACGTTGACCAGATGTTGTGGCTCTGGCACCGTGGCGGTGGCGGCCACGGTGAATTACAGCTTGGCCCGGTTTATGACTGTAATCATATCTTTCCTGCTTTAGTGAAGTAGTAATTGTTTACTTTACTACTTAACCATTTTGCCATGTACAAAATATTTGGACTGTAACACGACTCAGAAAGGACTCACATACCTCCGACGTTGCATCAATATTCACATGTTTCTCGCATCGTGTGCCTCGGAAATACAACTCCCCTCCCACAAATTCTTTGCCCAGACATACATTCAGTGTTACTTCTGAATCATCAACATGAAAGCCTGCAAGCTTATAAGATAACCAGCTTTTTTATGTTTTCCACAGGAGGATTCACTCTGGCCTTCTCTAAGGAAGATGTTCACACGACACAGAATATATTTGTATTTCAGGAAAATAACGTAAGGTCCTGTGAGGATTTCAAGAGGAATCACCTATGTCAGCATCCCTATCTTTACCATGTTCAACAACAAATCCATGGTGAGAGTCTAGAGTTGCTTCAGTCACATCATCAGAGAAGAATTCTGCAAAACAACAAAGAGTGTAGGCAGTTTAGTAACACTGTACTTATCAAATCAGCTTTCTCGAATGCATTTAAGTCATAAACATATTGTCTTGCCTTTGATAATAGGACAGATAAAATCCTCCCTGAGCTTTCCAAGCATGCTATCCAGGCCAAAGTCATCAAGCACAGCACCGTAGTTACTCATACAGTTTGCTTTCTTGATCCGGAGCTTTGTCTGCTTAGCCCACTTTCGGAAGTTTTTCACCTGCTTAATCAAAACAGGCAGCACATTAACAGAACAAAGTGGTAAGAGCACATCAGAGAACAAGTGCAAGATGACGGGTTATTACCTCTGATATCATCTTCTCACAGAAGCTAGGCTGAAGCATATCAAAGACTAAAACACCAGGAGACGGTTCAGAGATTATGCTTCTTAAGCCTGTGTTTCCTTTGATCGCCTCCAGGAAAGAGGGAACGAAGAAGATCTCGGGATCAAGAGTGTACAACTCCTTGTGAAGTGGCTGCACAAGGAAACATTTTAAACTTTGGTATATACACAAGTCTAAGAACAAAACAAGGAGGATGCTTCTCACCTGGTAATTGGATTTTATCGTCTGCTTATAGTCCCTGTCCATTTTATCCTGAAGCAGGAAATTATTTTTAGAAACATTAATGGAAACTTTTATTCAACTAACGTACTTCACCAACATCTAACCAGATTCTGGATTCTTCACAAGAAAAAAAAAGCTAAAGATTATACAAGCACCAGTTTGATGAATTTCAATCATTTTTTTCAAGAAAATGTATGACAGAACGAAACTAACAAGAAATCAAAATCAATATCTTAAGAACCCAGAAGCGATTCCCGAAAGAATTCAGATTGGAAAAAGAAAGAAATCAGCAGAGCTTGAAAGATGATTACTCTGGAACGTTCTTCGCTAGGAAGGTACTTGAGGATAATGCCCGACATGAATTTCGCCTTCTCGTCTCTGTTCAAGCTATTCAGCGGCAAGTACTTCTCCATCGAGCTCAAAATGCAAGGGCTAAATTCCAGCGGCAGATCGTCGTAGTTATCCGGCATGCGATCGTAATCAGCGTTCAGCATAAGCCTCAGGTCAGTAATCGCCGTCTCCGCCGCAGTGTTCGCCGGAGGAGTATCTCCACCTCCAACAGTTCCGTCACCGACCACCGTCATCTCTCGCCGATCACTTGACAATTCAGGATAAGGAATTCGAGCTATGAATCAAAAATCGAACTTCTTTTACCTCTCGATTTGATTTGGGGGATTTCTAATTATGGGTTTCCCGTTGGAGTTAGGGTTCACTAACAGTTTCCCCCGAGAATTGAGTAAGGACGAAGCTGCTGATTCCACGCGATTTATCAGCGCGTTTTGATCACGCGGATAGTTCGGTGGATAATTATAACGGCCCAAAAGGTTTCTAACCGGATAAGTATCGGTATTTTCAAAAGTGGTTTGTGAATCTCGAGCTATGAATCAAAAATTGGACTTCTTTTACCTCTCGATTTGATTTGGGGGATTTCTAATTATGGGTTTCCCGTTGGAGTTAGGGTTCACTAACCGTTTCCCCCGAGAATTGAGTAAAAGACGAAGCTGCTGATTCCACGCGATTTATCAGCGCGTTTTGATTACGCGGATAGTTCTATGGATTTACGGCCCATTTATAACGGCCCAAAATGTTTCTAACCGGATAAGTATCGGTATTTTCCGGGTTGAGAGATGCCTTATTCCATATTGTCTGATCAATTGGATAAGGCCGGTTGTGTTAAAACTACGTGCGGGCACAAAAACCATAACTAAAAAAATCAAACCATACCAAACCGAAAAAGTGATATAGTTTGGTTATGGTTAAACCTAAAAATCCATTTGGTCATATTTTTTTATAGTTTTAGTTTAGGTTTGGTTTAGTTAAAAACCGTCAAACCAAAAGGTTTTTTCGGTTTTAAAATTAAATTTTAAATAATTTATATTTTCCTAATTTTTTAATTTAGTTTAGGTGCATATTTTATTATTGAACTTAGTTATCTTTATAATTTACTAACTTAACTCATAAATTTAAAATATAATATTTATAAAAAATATCTACATATAGATAATAAAGTAAGCTTTAATTTCTCAATAAAAAAATGTGACTCCTTTTTCTTCACATTCAAGTCTTCTAGTTCTAGTTTCAAGATTATAGATATTAAATTTTAATCTAGATTTGTTTATTGTTTTATAATTATTGATTATGAAAGATTTGATAATTTGTTTGTTTCTCTGTTTTGAAATATGTCCTTATTGATGAATTTTTAATGATTTATATTCTATTTTTTGAATTTATTATTTTATTTCACTCATATTAATTATTATTATTTCTATTAGTTTGAATCAAAAAATTTCGTAATAGTATAATTCCAAAAAAATGAAACCAAATCATATTAAACCGAACCGTAAAAAACCAAACCATACCGAACCGAAATATATATGGCTTTTATATGGTTTGAATTTTCGTAAAACCGATAAACCGTAAAACCGAAGAAACCGAACCGAAACTAAACCAAAAACCGAAGTGCCCACCCCTAGTTAAAACCTTCAGGGAAAAAAATCTAAGAAAAGCAAAAAAATTGACTATAAATATTCGTCAAACTTCTGTGTTTATATTCCATGAGGCAAAATCTCATGAAACGAAATCTATCATTTATAAAGCACAAATCAATTAACACTTGTGAATTTAATATGTGGTATTTTTAAAGGAAATTGGGTCCTATACCCATATTAATAAGCTAAATTCATCATCTAACCATAACAAAATAGGTGCTATGATATTCTCTGTATATTATACAATATATACAAAAATATATTTCCTCTTTCCCGTCATCTTCCCCTCCACTCTTCTCATCACCCCACCTTTTCTCTCCTCTTACCTTCCTCTTCCCTTCTATTCCCCTCTCTTCCCCTCCTCTCATCTCCTATTCTCTCCGTCTTCTTCTTTCCCTTCTTCGTTCATCTCCTCCCTTCTTCTCTTCTTCTGATTTTTTGCAAATACTATATCAAACGATACTATTCTATAAAATTGAGATATAGTATAGTAGCTATTATAGTATAGTACAGAGATATTTTTGACAGTTGATAGTGGGCCATGGTTAGCTTGTAAATTATCCATACACTATGGCTATATTTTTTATTTCAACTCTCAATATGGTTATATATATTCAAAAAGCCCTTTTTTAATTTTATTTTTAAATAAATTTATTTTTGTTTTTACATTTTAAATCATTTTAATTAATTATGATTTTCTCAACTTTCATCTAGCAAAACCACTCACTACTGCAATTTCAAAATAAAAACCACTGTATTTCTTCCAATAGATGTTAAATGGTAAAAAAAAAAAAAAAAAAAAAAAACAGAACAACCCAATTCATTTTATTGTTTTTGCTGCAGAAATACAAAAAGTTTTTACAATTTTTTTTTTCTCAAACCAATAAGTTAGCCTACTAAACTCTTTAGATAAGATGACGATAAAGCACAGAGGTGGTGGCTTTCACTATCAGAACCTCTCAAATGCTCGACCAAATGGTAACAAACTCACCCAAACTTTAAAGTTCAAACAAAATAATTTCTCAATAAAGTAAATATATGACACTTTTGATTTATTTTTAAATTATGTTTTTCCAGTACGAAGTACGGGACAAATACTAGTTTTTCAATAATCCATTATGTGATTCAGCCTTCTTCAGTTCATATGACATGTATGTAATGTAACACATAAAGACTGCAAACGCCTCTTCTTCTAAGAATCTACCATCGAACAAATCATAGATCAAAACTTAATTAATTGGTTTCATCCTTCAACTCTAAAGTCTTTTGTGTATATGAAACCAGTAACCCATGCAAATCCAAGAAACATAAACTTTGTTGGTAGAAAGAAATCTCACCAAAAAGAGAAGAGAAGATAAAAAAAAAGATTTATAGACAATAATTAGAATGAGTATGTAAAAAACATATACCTATCTTATTTTGATATATTTCGTACTTGCAGCCTGCCAAAAAAAAATGTGTAAATTTGCTCCGGTGATTACTTATTACAGACTCATCAAGCATTGGTGCAAAAGCTACAAGCTAAGATCGATTAGGTCCAAAAATTTAATTCAGATATTCAGATAACATGAATTAAAACATTTTCTCCCTCTCTACACGAATGGATGGATCAGTGTTGCGTTTCTGTTCACTAATCATGTCTTTTTAGCGATCCAATCGTTTGGTCCTAGGTCCCATGATGCTGATGACTCTTACCGATGCCTTTTGGGTTCTTCAGAGGTTTAATTAATTTAGATTATGGTAGTATCATATCTCATCTTTGACAAATTATGGCACTCGGACCATTATAGAATTCACCTACCAGACTCGAAATTCTAAATAAGTCTAGCTTTTGCCTTTAAAATATTTAAATCGTTTCCTAACAAAAACATAATTTCATGTTTTTTTGCTCATAGCTGAACTTAGCGAAAATAAATATTCCAATTAGGTTACCCATATTATTATAAAATTCTTATCTCTGATAAAGGGTGTTGCAGAGGTATATATTCCATTTCAAATTACCAAATTAATATAGAAACTACGGATGATAAAGAAATTTCTGAATCAAAGTTAATGCACATTGTTTTTCACTTAATAAAAGCATCCTAAATTCTTTTCTTTTTTTTCTTGTGTTTAAAAGTGTTCAGGGTTCTTTGTGGCCACGGCTTTGTAGAATTATATTTTGTATATTTATAGTTATTTTTAATATTCGGGTGGCTTTGAATGATTCAGAAAGGTATATCGATATTGGGATAATAGCAACAGTTCTCAAATGAATATTTATAAAATACCTATTATTTATGTCAGCTAAGTCGGCAGTATTTTCCACGTAAAACCGTCTGCAATTTTATATAGTTTGTAAAGCGACAGAAAAAGTATTAATATTACGGAAAAGAAAAAGAAAATTAAAATTAAAATAATGACAAACGTCTTTGTTAAGAAATCATTTTATCAACATTTAAACCCATCAAGAATCATTGAGCTTCTTCAAGAACGCGATGAACGACCGCAAAACTCTACTCCAAAGAGGAATGGAAGAAGAAAATCGAGCAAGGAATAAGATCTCCGCTTCACCTACAAGGTCTCAAACCGAAATCGCAAACGCAAACGCAGGTTTAACTGGTCCGTCCGAAGTCGCGTTTAACGTTTGCTGCTTATGCGTCTATTGTCCTCTTTGCGTTCTCTGGTGCTGCATCAAACAGCCTTGTACAATCGGATGGCGAGCCATCCTAAAGGCTAGACGCCAATTAAGCGGCTGCAGCGGCTGCGGCAGAAGCTTTAGTAGGAGGGTTAAGGCCGCTGATTATTCGTCGTTTTCCGATATTGATTCTGATGACGTGAATTGCAAAGCTCATAATTGCTCTAAACGAAACCGGTGATTATAAAGTTCTATTGACTTTCATAAATTCCAAACTTTCCTCATGCCTTTTTCTCCGATCCGCGACTTTGATCGTCATAAACGCGGAGGCAAATCGCTGGAGTTGACTTCTTAATGATGAGTTGATGAAAAATCTTGCGATCAGATACCAAATTATTTCGATAATTTATAGTTTAAAGATGTTATTGTGATAGATTAAAGATGTATATATATAATACGTGGTTGTTCAAATAAAAAAAAGGTTTATATTATTACCTTGTGAAGGAATAAAGTTCTTTTTTTTGGTCATCAGTAAGGAATAAAGCTGTGATGTTGTGCCTTTGTCTTCTTCAGTTATTTTTCTAAAAAAAGAAAAATAACAGAGCAGAGAATTCACTCAAGGAAATAACAATAATCACGTAAAGTTGTAAATGTTTTAGATAGTAGTGTAGTTCAACAATCAACATAGCCATGGAGGAAACAATAAAGATAAAAATAGAGTTGATTAGGTAGACGACCAAATTAAGTAACCTTATTAAATAAATAGGCCCTTTAACAACAAAAAACTAATTAACTAAATGATCAGTGAAAATTTCTTGTTTGGCATATAACTATTATGGGACCTAAAAGTTGAGTTTTTTCTTCCCATAAAAAAAGTTTTTAGTTTTTAGTCAAAATATATAATAAAATAGTATGTTGATAACTCGATATAATTTCAACTATTAAATGTAACAAGAACAAAATATAAAAATTACTTACGATTATGTTAAAGAAAAATGTTGGGAAAATGCTAAGGTAGAAAGGAAATCAAGCCCCTGAATCCAAAAACATTGCAAAAAGAATTACTAATGAAGTTAAAGTCATCATAAACGAAAACAAAATTTTGGGTACTCTAAGGCCAGAAAATATAAAGCGCAGATGAACGGTATGAATCATTTCCCGAAATTCTCACATATATTCAAGTTTATTTTTATAAAAGTAATATTACAATAATGTCTATTGACTAGATTTATCCACAAATTAATGTACATATAAATTTAATAATAAAAAGATGACCAAATTTAGAAAAT